CCTACCAACCTCACTAACCTAACGTCCAATCTGCCTTCCACCAAATAGCTACCAGAGATTGCGCACCATCACAAATTATTGATGGTTGAAGAGAAAGAGTGTCTAAATAAGAATACTCATGGATTAGACGGCATTAGCCTCAATATGTAAGGCACCCACTAGACCATTACTTAACCAGCAGTAGTAATGAGAGATGCAAAACAGGTCCTCTAATTGCAGGGTGGGTCCAAAAGCATCAAGTCAACAACATGAAGGAATGACATCAATCCAGGCTATCCAGCCATGGGAGAAGACATGTGAATGTAAATCAAAGGGCAAAATAGTATTTTTAATTTTTTAAATAATTTCAAATGTGACATTTTTTGGTAAAGAACTTTAAACAAGAAGCAATTGTAGAGACGTTTACTATTGAGACATTATTGAAGCCAAAAAATGAAAGTCCAACATATGACAACATGTCCCTCATGTGAATGGGCAATTGGTTTAGCAGGAAAATATAAAAATGTAGGATGTGTATTATCTCACAATTAAAAAACCAAATACATGACTTTAAAAAATAGAAAATTCAAAGTTCTAAAAAAATTGGAAGGGAGATTTTGGAGCACAAGGGGATCGATTTTTTATATTATATATACATATGATAAATTAATATAAATATATAGCATAGCATAATATATATATATATACATATAAATTGGATAAGATGGAACTAAATCTGAATATGATGCAATTATATAAATGAATCATCCTAATCTAAGATAATCGGATTGCCAAAATCTATTGTTTCAAGTCTCATTTATTAGTAAAGGTGTAAATCGGGTCATGCTGGCCTGGTACGACCCAACCCAAATTTGGACCGGCCTCGCACGGGATTTATGCCAGGCCCAATACGACGGGTTGAGTTGTGTTGGGCCTGGGGTTCTAGGTCTACGGGCCAACATGGCATGACACGACTGTGCTGCATAGCCCGCGACCCACGCGCCAACATGGCCCAGCTCCCATCACGGACCGGCATGACACGACCCACTGGCAAGAATGACACAAATGCCCCCCGACAGCTATATAACAACTAGTTTGGGGGGAATTTTGGATAAAATGATAAATAACTTTACAATGACCAAAATACTCCTTCCAGCAACTAAAAAATGAATAGTTTTTAGTGTGTTTCAGGCAATTGAATTATTTTCAATTCCTATAAATAGCCCTATCATCCATCATTTTCATTGCACCAATTCAACAATTTATACTATATATAAAAGTGGGAATGCAATGTGAAAGTTTTTTGGACTAAAATTACCCTCTATTTCTTTGTTTGAGAAAGGGTATAAAAGTTATTTTATTACAACTTTAATGTCAACTTTTATGGCTACTAAAATGTCCATAATTGTGTATTTAGTCCATCTTTAATGGGAATGGTTGAAAATGTAACTTCAATTATTACTTGCCACCTCATTTAATCCCCCCTCGCTTATTAATTCCCATTCTTTCTTATTAATCATATATTTAACTTATTTTTTACTAATAAATGTTACTAATTAGATATATGTCAATATTTTTAATAGCATAAACCCATATATTTTAAAATTGACTAAAAAAACATTTTTTGTCCAAGTGGTGGCTAAGAAATTCAACCATCCGAACCAAATTGAACACATCTATAATTCTATATTTATACTACTATAAAAAATATGAATAAGATTGTAGAACTTTCTTTTGACTAAAATACTCATTTTTGGATTTAGTCCCTATTTAATTGTGACGTTTAAATTGTAAATTGAACTATTACTATTCACATCATTCCCCTCTATTTAAATCTTTCATTTTTTTTATAAATGAACAAAAAAAGATACACCAAAAAGATAAAATATTAGAAAAAGAAGAATCTAGCGAAGAAGGTAGGCCTATCAATGATAATTGAAACTTCACAAATTGATCCAATTATCACATATTTGGATGAGGTGTTTATGTAATTAGATTTCGATTTTGCAATTTGCATTCGTTTAATAATTAAAAAACAAAATAAAAAATACATATTCATAAAAATTTGTGGATACATTATTATTATCATTATCATCATCTAGAATTGTCACGTGCATGCTTACTAGTTCTTATAAATAACCCTATCTTCCACCTTTTTCAATTCCTACAATGATCAAAGTCAAGAACAATAGGAGAAAATGATAAAGTCGATTTTTTTTTTGTATACTCAATAGTAGTATAGCATTTTTTCAGATTATTGTAAGTTTTGTTTTAATTTTATTTTTTAACAACATAATTTTTTATTTTCAATTGGTAATTATATTGTATCTTCATTTTATTAATTTATTCGAATTTCCAATTTTCGTAATTCATTTATCCAACCATCTTACGCTTTGTATCATTCAAATTTAAATGAAATAAAATTTTTATTTTTTTCTAATTTGTTATTCACTTTGAGTCTTTGTCTCTGATTTCTTATTTGGTTAAGTATTTTTTTCCTTTTCTTTGTTAGATTTCTTATTTTTCCAAATACTTCCCAAAGAAAAGTTAAATATTTTAGCAAAGAAATAAAAAAATAAAAAAATATCAACACAAACAAAAAAACCAGTATGGCCAGGTTCGGTCCACGCCCAAGGCTTTGTGGCCCAGCTTGGTATGGCCCAGGCCCACTGCATGGCCTGCAACCCGCCCAGCCAAGGCCCCAAATGGGCTTAGGCCATGGGCTGTGCTAGGCCGACCCCCCAAATTATCCTTGGTGGAGGGTGACACTACCCAAGATGGCTCGCACTTTGTGTGAGCTACAGGCGGGGGCTTTTTACATCTCTATTTGTTTGTTTTTTTAATAAAAAACCATATAACCACATTCTTTCATTCATTTTAAGAGGCTATGTGACCATTCCCAAAAATTTATGAAACTTTAGACGCCACTAGGATCATATATAGAGGGCTCCAAAGCAAGGTTGGAATAGGACTCGACTTTTGGTCCTTTTGGGAATACTGGTATCAGATTTGTGTCCAAACATCTCAACGTGAGGCTGAGAAGTGACCCACCTTGAGAATGGGACCTATCATGTAGTGTGAATACCGAAGTCCGGATCTGCTCCTCACACCAACCTCACTTTGGCTCCCATGCTTTGTGTTGTTGTTCACAGGGAGATGTGTGTTCCTAATTCATGGTAGGATAGGGTTGAGTAGTGGCAAGTTGGGACAATGTTGGGAGTGTTTTAATGGTCGCGGATCCCTACAACCCATTCCCTCTGTATATGGGGAAAATGAAATTGGATTTGGTGCTTACAAAGTTGTGCTCAAACCATTCTCACAACCCTTTTTTAGTCGTGTATTGGGAACAAGTCTCCATAAATAAAAAGGTACAAATATGAGGATATTCTCAAGACACAACTGAAAAAGGTTGTTAGAATGCAAGATGCTTACCAATTGATTAGTAAGATCTCCTATTGGTTGTAGCGGAAACTTGGGATCAAATCCCATATGCACTTGGGTTGGGGGTTTATGGGCTACCCCCATTGTGTAGCCCTTCAAAAGATATAAAAAAGGGCATGAGAATGTATAAATAAAATTCCTGGAATTTTTTTATTTAGTTGGCATTTATTGAAAAATTGCTTCCACATCAAGGCAACATGGGCATTTGTAATTGAGAATGAAACCGTTGTTTGGTTTTAATGTTTATCAAATAAACACTAAAAAGCATAAACACTTAGATTTATGTGCATGAAGCATTTTGGGAAACATAAAATTCTTGCTTCCCTCAACGCCCATGCATTTCTTGAAATGAAATGCTTATGTTGCATACTTTATGAGGTGCTAATTTGGGTTTGTAAAGTGAAAATGTTTAAAGTTATGCTTAATCAAACAATAAAAGCAATAAACACTCATGGATAAATGCCAACGGAACCAAACATATATTTCGTAAGGACTAAGTATATGTTTAGTTGTGGTTATTTATAGATGGGCCACTTATTGCTTTTAATGTTTATTTGTACCACTTCACTTTAAAAGTTTTTTGCTTTTCTTGTTTGCTAGGACATTACTTCAAACCTTTTTTTTACTTTCCACCTCACATTAACACCCCATAAAAATGTGTTACATAAGCATTTTGTTTTAAGAAATGTTGAAAAAATAAAGGAAATAAGAATTTGACTTTTCCCCAAATACCTACTACATAAAAATCCAAGTGTTTATGACTTTTAGTATTTATTTGATAAATGATGAAACAAAACTGTGGTTTCACCATTTATGGCTTTTAGTATATGTTTGGCATTGATGCTACAGTTATAACACTGTTTTCTGAATATACAGTGTTGCTGATGTGTGGCTTGGAACACCATTTTCTCAGAAAATAGTGCATTTATTTTTGTTTAAAATCGTTGCTGCCTGGTAGGATGTTTCCTGGAACAAGCATCATTTTCTGTTTGGTACCATTACTCCAGGAAACTTTTCAGCACTGATACTCATTATCCAATGCCATATCATTGCCCTATTGGTGGCAATAAGCTACAACTCTAGGAAATGCCAAATTTGACATTGTTCCAAGCCATGGTTTCCCAATTTTCGAGATATAGCTTGGGGCACCGTTTTTATAAAAAAACGGTTTCAAACAAATAACCATTTCTGAAGCACCGTTTTTTCTGATGTGGTGCTGATGTGGCACCGTTGCTCTAGGAAACGGCAACGATGCCAAACAGCCTCTTAGCGTTCATGCATAATAAACGTTAACACCTATATGGCCCTGATGCGGTGACGGTTTTCGATAAACGCCCGTTGATAAAACACCCTCCAATCCGCGCCTTTTGGGAAATCGCATGGGCGCTCAACAGCACATCCCAACCGTATATTGGGATCATCTCCCAATAACAAGTACGGAGATGTTGACAAATGACAATGCGCGCTGAGACATGTGGGGCGCCTGTACGGCGCGTTTTGTGGGGCGCTAATGTTACGCGCTCAGTTGGGAGTTCATCCGAACTCACGTTTCTGCCTCTATATCTTTTCTCACTACCTTCTCCTCTCGTCTCTCGTAGCCCAGAAGTTAAAAAGGGATATCTCAGTGGCGGGATTTTGTGTTTTTACAAACAGAGCTTTCCATTTCTCTCTCCTTTATCCGCCCTCTTTAAGACCAGAAAATCTCTTCTTCTTTCTTTTCAAACTTGAGAGAGAGAGAGAGAGAGGTAGGCAGTTCTTCATCTGTTTTTGTGTCTATAGCAAAAGGAAAGACAGAAAATGGCCATGTCCTTGGGTTGTTGCTGGTCCAGCTTCTTGGCAGGGCAGTCGATGGAGGCCAAGTCTTCGTCAACCCTCCGCTTTGCTCCTTCTCCTGCTAATTTGCGCGTGGTTCGCTTCGTAACCAGCGCTGCTTCGTCCAAGCCTGCAACAACCGGTAAACGTGAGCCCAGGGGCATCACCAAGCCCAAACCCATCTCTCCTGCAATGCAAGCACTTCTCGGCGTTCAGGAGATCCCTCGTACCCAAGCCCTCAAGCAGATTTGGGCTTACATCAAACAGCACAATCTTCAGGTCCATTTTTTACTTCCCCTCTCCGTAGCAATGACAAGAGTACGAATCCATTTTATTTGATTTCTGCCATGTCTTCCATGTGCTTGTGTTTAATACACCCACTAGTTCAACATCGAGAATGCATCCGAAGAGGATCTCTTCATATGTTTTCTTTGGATAAGGTTGTACATGCTCATTGGTGTTAGTATCCTAGTGGTCCCCCTCTTCCATTTTTTTAAGTTTTTGGCTTATTGCTTCTTTTTAAATATTTTAGATGGTTTTTGAGTCCGAGATGTTACCATAGCTGGATGTGGTTTCATGTTTGCTGGGTTTCTCGTCTCCATACAGGGTAGAAGGACAACATACTTTCGTTTGCACTGGTTTTTATTTGCTTGCACATTTGAAATGCTAGACCTTGGTATGTCACTATGATATATCACATATTCAAAATTTCAAAAGTTATGTTAAGCACTTTAGAGGTGTAACTCTTGACTTGGTGTCTGGTTCCATGGTCCTATGTTTTGTGCTTTTTAACATTCTATAAGATGCCCATCCTTGTATCCTATAACAATGCTGTAAAAGGTGTTTAAGGCTTGTGCTTTGTGAGATTCAACTACGGAGGGTTTGTACTTTGGAGTATAAATGCATCTTTTTTTGTTTTGGTTGAGCAAACACCAGACTAAGCTGGGAGTGCAGTGAGCCAAATCTAAACTTTCTTTATTTTATCATATCATGACAATTATGATCACCAAATAAATTTAATCTATTTGTTGATTAATTCTTAATCATACCTGGACCACCTCATCCCTTGTTTTAATCAATGCTTAAAAAAATATAAAAAAAATCAATGTTTTAAAAAAAAGCTTGGGAGGCATATGGCTGGAGGTGTCCCCAAAACGCCTCAAGGTGCATGCCAGAGGCATTGATACCGTTCCGGTTCGCCCACCTCCACTTTGACAGGACCCCCTTTCAGCTAGCGTTATGTATCTCCTTTCTTTTTAATACGACATATTTCATACAAACTGAAACAAGAAAAACAAGATGGTATCTTCTCAAGGAGGCTTATGCCTCTTGTGTTCTGAACTATACCTCATTTCTGCAGGTAGTGGAAGGTCTTGCATCACACTGCATTTTAAAACATTGATTTTAATCATGAAATTGTTGGAACAATGGGCTCCTGGATACATAGGAAACCATGAAGTTGTCTTTGGTTTTGAATCTCCATTATAGTGAACCATACAATGTTTATGAGAAACAAGCTTTCAACCAAAAACAGTCATACATGAATTATTTTTCTTGTTGCTGGTTCCAAAAACAAATCAAAACCATTTTGTTTGAAAGCAAATTGTTTCTTAAAACAAAAACATAAGAAACATTTTCTTGGTTGTGTATGTGTATTTTGTTTTCAAAACTGAAACCAAAAACATGTTCTTGAATCTGATTTCAAAATCATGTTTTCATTTGATTATTCAATATCATGTTCCATAAATCATATAATTTCTATACTAGAAAATTTGTTTTTGTTTTAAAAACCAATATTTTGTTGGTTCCAAAAGTATGTATTGTTTTTTGAAACAAAACCAACTTGTATTCCCTTTGAAAACAAAAACAGAGTTCAAGAACTTGTTTTTGTTTTTTTGCTGATGTGACGATTCCAAAAATAAGTGAAAACAAAAACATTCATGTTATAGAATGCCCCTTTTATTTATCAGAAAAAAAAGCTTTCAACCAACTTTAGACTGATAGGTTCAATTGCTTTGCATAGTCCTTTCAACCAACTTTATTAAACGAGCCTATATATTAGGGTCGTGAACAGTTTGGCTCGTGGCCACCCCTATATATTGATATGGGTCTAGTCTAGCTACTAGCTCTTGGCATTTCTTATAGCATGCTTATGAAGTTATGATGCTTCATGCTGTATCTAGGAAAAATGTTCAGAGTAAACATTCTTAAGAGGATGTGTCATGGGAAAAGCACATGTTTAGTAAGTGTCAACCTTCTGTTTTTCTTAAATTTTCTTTTCTTTATAATATGGATAAATTATTTATGTAATTTAACATTTATATATTTAAACATGCCATGATTTCTAAGCTGAGCACTAGCAGACACCTTACTGCTTGTTATGCAACACTGGGCTTGACAACATATTGAGGAATGCTTTGTTTGCCCCTGGAGAGACATGAAGTGTCACTGTGGTGGTGGCATTCCCCACTGGGCTGTTTTACTTTTCCTTGTGCAACAGAACTAGGTCATGCCATCAAACCTGTTCCATTCCCCCTCTTGACTGTTTGTGACATGGGTTACCATTGGGTACTAGCTTAGGATATTAATTAATTAATTATTATTTTATTTTTTATTAATAATTATGGCTTAATTAATAATTTTAATATTTTATTCTGGAAGATAATTAGTTATTAAGTTATTTATTGATTATTTATTAATTGTTTTAATAAATTATTTTATTAATATGTTATTAAATTAATAATAATTTATTTATGTGTCATGGATCTAGTATTAACTCTTAGAAATACTACAAGGAGGGTTTTTTTTCTGTTAAATAAGTTTTTCCCCCTACATTCCCACTTGTTTCCTGCCAAGATGGTGGGACTCCACATCCCAAGAATTGGGGTCTATAATCCTACCTTTTTCCCATCCCATCCCATCCCATGACATCCCACAAACCAAACATTGGGAAGGGAGGAATATTCCAGAATATTCCATATTTCCCCTTCCCTTCCCATAAATCAAACGGACCTAACAGAATTTGTTTTGTCTATCTGCTTTGTGTACTGTTGAATGATGCTAATTGTGAAATTAACAGTTGTTCTTGGGCTCACATGAAACCAAAGAAACCAGTAGGTTTTTAATGAGAAAAGAGAAATTTAAAGAAGCTAACTTGAATACTCCAAGGCCCATCAAGACCCGTACAGAGCTGAAGCAAGAAAGAAACAGGGTATGATACAAAATCTTTATGACACATTAAAAAAAAAGGCAAACTAGAGCATAATGACAGAAGATAACACAAGTTGGACTTGGGCTTGATTCATTTTCAAAGTCTTCCACTCCACTCTGTAGCTGATTATTTTCATTTTTCCTTGTGCTCTAGCTTCATTGTTGGGATGTGAAATATGTTGGTTGTCTTTTATTGTTGTCAATGCCTGCTCATAGTCATAGTTGCTCAATAACTTTAGGGCATCTTTCTGTTTCTGTGGCATTATTTACTGATTTTGGAGTATTGAACACAATTAGTATCATTGGTCAGCCACTAGCACTGGGTTTCAGTTGTTGATAGATAGATAGATATTGAAGGCCCCGTTGGCGCGTCTTTGCGGGCTGTTGGCTGTGTAGAAGCCAACCCAGTAGCCCATGTTTTCGTCTTTTCCTGTTTGGTTGGGGGAAGATCTAGCCACCGAAAGATTGCACCCCAAAAAGACACGAGAAGCTTGATTCGAGCTTATTTTGGGAAGCTAGAAATGGAGCTTCTTTTTGTCTTTTTTTGTCTTGTCTTCGCACAGAAAGATGCGTGGAAAGATGCACCTCCAACCAAACAGTCTCTGGGCTGCCAAGATTTTTATGTAAAAGCCCACTACATCTTTTGGCTCTCAGATCTTCTAGAAGATCTGTCAAAAAAGACTTGCCAAACGGCACCTTAGACTTTTGGCCTTTACTCTTACATTATCCATACTCTAGAGACAAGGAGCAGCATGGATGAAGTGTTGGACAAGAATTTTACATTCAAATTTGAAGTGCTGACTGTGGGATCTATGCTGTAGCATTTTCTAGTAAATGTTTGATACTTATTATTATTGGGGACTTCTTAGACACACTAATCTATCTGTAATCCCCCCTCTGGTATCACTGTTTTCTTCACTGAACTTGATTTATGCCTCATAGGATATGCGAGATTCTGAATGATATTCAATTGCTGCTGTAGTTTTCTGTTGCTAGATTCTAAATGCCTTGAGTTTACCACAAAACTCAATTGCAATTTTTCATTTTTCGTTTTCTCATGTGCGTTTTTATTTTTAGGATCCTGAAAACAAGAAGATCATAATGTGTGATGAAAAGCTGAAGACCATATTTGGAGGGAGAGAGCGTGTTGGGTTTCTTGAGATCGCAGGGCTGATCAATCCTCATTTCCTCAAGTGAAGTCCAACTTTGCAGAGATTAACTTTGGAAGTTCAAAAATCGTCAGTGAATTAGCTTTTTTTTTTTGTACATGGGTGGTGTAGGCGCATGCTGGTTCAACTTGCAAAAAAATATGACTTCTGCTGCTTCATTCAACTCTAGGGTAGTTCTTTAGGGTGCAGATACATGCTGTTGCTTTGTGAGCATTAAGAGGTTCTAGTTGCATGGTTCAGTTAGTTTTACTCATGCTTCTTTAGCAAGGAGACGTGAATGCAAAGTTTATTTTCCCTGGTAGCACCTTCAGCCTTTCTAAGAAGAGGGTATGCATGCAATCTGTGTTTACACTCTTTTAAACTTGTTCATGCATCGGGGAAATGGAAATTCTGTTTCAGCATGCTTAATAGATGTGGTATTGAAAGCAACATTTTTGACAGCTATAATCTGAACTATTTGAGGATACTACAGAAAGCAATAACAGTAAAATATGCAACTGCAAGGTGCCAACCGGTTGGTTGGTAAGTTCTGCTGGTTGTAGCGGAGATTTGGGATCGAATCCATCCTGCACTTGGGTTGGGGGGATGAGCTACCTAATATGCGATTGATAGATATGAAATATTGAGAAATATATTCAGAAAGAAAATAGAACAGGAGCAGGCTTCCACAAGAATTAACCAGCACATTCTTACTCGTCAAATCAAACATTCAATTGCAATGGTTTCCAATAAAGAGGCTAGCCATTCTCAACTCCAAGTCCAAAGTCACTCCGAATCCAAGACATACCTATCTGGATCTTATACATTTTAATTCTTTTGTATTGCTAACAACCCTAAACAATCAATGATCTAACTTCTATAAAAACTAATCAAACTAAAGAACAATAGACCAGAAATAGATGGCCAATAGTGTTGGATACTAGGTGGGCTACGACAGGTGCCCTAGGCTATTTGCCTTCCCTCACAAGGCATGTTTTGGGTCCTTATATCTTGCGACCCAACTGAGAACTTCACATGTTTCTCCCGGGTTTCTGCTCCTATGGCACTTCAAGATTCTGAAACTATTTAGGTGGTGTTCATGTTGGCTTACAATTTCTTCTTTTTTGGTTTTGCCAGATGTTGGGTTGCAAAATACAAATTACCCCCCCCCCCCCTCCAGTTTCTTTGTTTACTAGATCCGAGATGGCCTTCTGGTTTGTACAATAAAACAAGTCATACTCGCACTATTAAATTCTGCAGATGAAACAGATGGCTTACTTCATGACTGTCCTGCTTTCCACACAGCAACTTAATTTAGTATCATGGGGTCTTAAGAGCCTGTTCACACGGTTTTTGCTTTCAAGTATACCCATGACAATGACAGTGTGTGCTGCATTATCCATTCAACTACCCTGATTTCAACTTTATCATTTCCAATCCTCCTCGCTCTCTTTATAAATTGTAAAGTGTGAAACTAACGAGAAATTTACGTTAGCTTAATTGCTTTCAACTTTCATGTTTCAAGTTTCTTCCACTGCTCTAAACTAATTATTCTATTATCTTATATAAACTTTGTGGCACGTGGTCGCAGTGGATGCCGCATCTCCAGGTTCATGTGCCTAGAAATGAATATCATCACGCCGTTTGTAACTTTGTATTGTACCCAAGTACCACCACGCGATAATACATCATCATCACAGACCTTTTGAAAACCACTTCTGCCCGTTTAAGCAGGGAGTCATCATTAATCCAATTTACCTTTTACTAATCAAGCTTATTCCCATATCTCAATCGACCAAAACACATGTCCCCGTAGAAACTGCACTGCACGTCTGCGACATATATCAACATCATTGATCAAACCCTCCGAATAGCAGACTAGGCTTAATTAGGGATTAATCTCTCTATTATATATTATTATATGTTAATCATGGTAGCCGCATTTTCTTGAGACCACCCCGTCTCCCTTACTGTAAATAGTACTACTACACATTTAGCAATCTTCTTTGCCTTGTGTGAGTTGGAATGCATATGCACCATGAGTGGCTTTCTTATATATGTATATATATATATACTATACTGCAAATTGGGAAGGGTTTCTAGTAAAGTAAGTTGAGCTATTGGATGGATAAAGAAGGGACCACAGCTGGTTTTGATTTTGAAAGACAATATCTGACAGAAAAGTCATGGTCCCTCACTCTTTGTAGTTTGTATCCAATCACTATGCACATTGCACCATCATTTCTCTTTTTTCATTGAAGGGACCAAATGGGCTTTTTTTTTTTTTAAGCCCAAAGAAGATCTGAAAGTTACAGACTTGTTAAGTGCACATTGTTACCTTCTGTGCATGGACCAGCATGCGTTCATCTGGACCATTCTTTTTTTTTTTTTTTTCGATGATCTGTATTGTTCAAGCGTAGCCTCAGAACATCTCTGGTCTGCATGATGAGGTTTAAATATCTTCCTCCTCTTAATGTAGACAACATCACAAACCATTAGATGATCAGACTTGCACATTAGTGCGTGGGTCAAATATTTGCACTTTGTTTTACCTCCACTTTCTCATTTTCAGAGGATGTATGTTTGAAATAAATAAAAAGGATTTCTGGTAACTGTTTCTTTTTCCCTATTATATATATATATATATATATATAAATTAATGTTGTTTGGACTAACATGAAAAGCTAGGAAGAAGGACGATCCATATCTTGGGATGCTGTTTGCTATTTGATGTGGGAGGCACTTCCAAAAGAGTGAGGACCCTAAGAAGAAAAGACCCAAGCAGTCTTTGTTTTCTAAGACAGCTTTTCTAGGTCTAATATATTGCAACTAATCCCCTACTTCCTCATACTTCGATATATGAAACACTCAATTTTGCTGCATTTTTGTTTTATGTATTGCACCTAAATTATAAAAAACCCATGTATGTCTAAAGGGACATTTCTAGATGATGGTCCCCGCAATCCAGGTCTCGAGAAGGACAGACTGGATATGAACCTAACTTTTGTCTTTTTTTTTTTTTTTTTGCTCATAGACGATTCATCCATTTAGGAGAATTTTATGTAACAACTATTCTGGTTGAGATGGTCTTTTACTCTTTTACTCCAACAAATTAAGGCTCAGTTTGGAAGGAGCACAAATGCAAATTTGTAGAGCGTAAAACCTTGTATTTTGTATGTATATGCACTCTACAAATTTTCATTTGTACTGTACTCCTTCCAAACTGAGCCTAAGGGGTTTTGGACAATGTGAATGTAAGAATGTTTTTTATTCTTTGTCAAACCAAACATCCCCCTAATCGTGTATTACTGTTATTGGACAAAGAAATGGATGCGGAAAAATCTTCCTTGCAAAAAGTCGACGAGGCATTTTATGAAATTCTTAAATCTTAACAGCTTTTCCATAGCTTTTCCTTTCTCACTTATTCTCTGAGAACCAAACACAGCCTAATCGAGCAACATAGTTTATAGAATATAGACAAGGTATAGGTAAGAATAAAATATAATTATATTATAAAATGTAATATATTACTAAATATAAAATAAATAGAATTTGCGGTGCTAAAATTCATTTTTGGCCATCAAACCAAAATATATTAAGCCAAATCACGTTTGTTTGACTGATCTTTTTGACTGTATTATTTATATTGTTGAGACAATCGATACTAGACATGAGCTTTTCCAATGTAGTAGTTTTGGCTGATTATGATTATAGCTAGAACTCCCCCTCGTGCCACAGTTATGTTTTGGAGGGTTGAAGCCTTGAGCTTTACATGCATCATACATGGGAAGTGGAAGCGAGAAGAGGGGATACAAGAAAGATTTTCCTTTTCGTTCTCCATTCATGATCATGCGAATGCGAGACAACAGTTAAAAAGGACACTCACTTGGACTTGGGGCTGTCGTCGTCGTCTTCTTTTCACCTTCAACTCTCCTCCTCTCAGTTACTGTCTTTATAATGGAAATAAAAAGAGCTTTAATTTGCTGCTTTCATCAACTGCACACTCAAAAGTGAGTAGATTTACAGTACTCCACCATCTGATTCTGGGCATCTCTCTCTCTCTCTCAGCTCTCTGTGACAGATGGCAGAGGGACGCATATATCATATATGGCGAAAAAACAGCAAAAAAAAAAAGGCACAAAATAAATCCGCGTCAGCACCAGAATGAATTCACCACTCTGGGTAACTGAACGCAGTGTAGTCGCCCGCCCTTTCTCGTGAAAAGGCGCATAATAACAAATTATAATGATAAAAATCCTCCCATGCGCCGCTAGGTGTCACTCCCCCGCTTCTCCGTTTTGTACCTTTACCTAACTTATTATTGTTTTCAATTTGTTATCTCGTCTCCGACCTCCCTCATAGTCATCTGTGTTACTACTGTATATGATATGTTCTCTCTCTCTCTCTCTCTCTCCATATATATAAATCTCTCAACTTGATAACATTCTTAACTCTTAACCCTCCCTACCCAACACCATCCTTTCCTTTCCTTCCTCTGACAACAGTTCTGAAACTCCTCCCACTCGGCCATGGACACTAAGAAGAAGAAGAAGGTGACGACCTCCGTCGAGGACGCTGACGTGCGCTCTGATGAGTCTCCCTGTAACAACCCATGCTGTTTTTTCTGTATCATGAAGGAGTCGAATCCATCTCTTAGAAGAGCTGGGATCGCTAAATGCTTTGAAGAGATGCCTCACCAAGACGATCAAGAACAAGTTCTGGTTCTTAGTGGTCTCTGGACCATCGCCATGTCTCAGCCTGACGACCCTGAATTCCCGTCCCTCGGCATCTTTGAATGCATGGGTTCTCTAATCCATAGAGGAGTCAACGACCGGGATTGGCTTCTGAGAGACCAGAATATTTACATCCCCTATTACGCCGCTCACGTCATCGGTTCCTACACTATGAATAAGGTCGAGTTCGCAGAGGAAGCTGTGAAATCTGGTGTAATTTCACCACTGATGGAGCTTCTTCGAGGGAAGATCAGTTGGGTCGAGCAAAGAGTCGCCGTTCGAGCGCTGGGTCACCTGGCAAGTTACGAAAGAACATTCGAGGCTGTTGCGCAACACGAAGAAGAGATAGTCCAGCTAGCCATGCAGTTGGCTTCCGCCTGCCTTGATGTGGTGTATGTTAAGTTCGTCGGGGTGAAGGATAGGAAGAAGAGATTGAAGTACCAATGCGACTTACTTACCAGAGGGGTGGGAAGCTTGGAGATGGAGAATCGAAAAGCAGAGGAATGGGCTAGCCAGCTTCAGTGCTGGTCTCTCTATATCCTAAATTGCTTTGCCTGCAAAGAGAGATCTCTGCATCTCATCTGCAAACGAGAGTTCTTGAAGGATCTGAGCGAGATGTGGGGTGGGTTGGTAAACCACAGTTCGCCTGCAGGGGTCGGACTCATTAGAATCCTTTGTTACAGCGAGACCGGCAGAAAAAGAATTGCAGACTCAAGAGAAGTTATAGAAACTCTCTGTAATCTCTCGAGATCTTCCGACGACTGGCAGTACATGGGTATCGACTGCCTTCTGTTTCTTCTCAGGGACCCAGATACGAGGTACAAAGTAATGGAGATGGCAGCTATGTCTCTGGCCGATTTGGTTGAACTGCGAAGTCTCGCGGGAAGATCAAGAGTAGGAGACCCAATCGCAGAAGCGCTCCTATTGGATTACAAAGAAAATAAATCGAAATTCAAGAACAACAAAAGGGTAGAGAGAGCTTTACAAGAGATATGGGATTTGAAGGTGGAGAGGAGAAAGATCCTCTCCGAACAAGAAGTGCAGGAGAGAAGGGCTTTAGTAAGTCTGTTAAAGCAACAAGGAAACGGTAGGTTTTGGTCCGGGGACATCGAAGAAGCTGTACTGAAGTATTCCGAAGCCCTGAATTTGTGCTCGTTAAAGATGAAAAAAGAGAGGATTGTTCTTTATAGTAACAGAGCCCAGTGTTATTTGCTATTGAGGAATCCAGAACCTGCCATTAGCGACACGACCCGAGCTCTGTGCCTGTCGAGTCCAGCGAACAGTCATGGTAAGAGCCTCTGGAGGAGATCACAGGCTTACGACATGAAAGGATTGACCAAGGAGAGTTTGATGGACTGTATAGTCTTCGTCAACAGCTGTATCACGTCGGAGGAGACGAAACGTATCAAGGTCCCCTACTACGCGGTTCGCATGATCAACAAGCAAATGAATGCCACATGGCTTTTTGCTGGTGCCCATTCCAGACATTCGAGCAGAAATGAAGACCGAGTAGACGAACCTGACGGTGATGATGAGAGAGATGAAAAAGAGGAGGAGGAGGAGGAGGAGGGAGACGACGTCGACGATCGAGATGATGAGATGATGATGATAAAGGAGAAAAAAGCTTATTTGTCTGGTAAAATTTCCGCTTTATTTGCTTTCTATCTATCTATCCAGTATCCACTACGAACTACAGAGTACAGAATTTCTTGCTATGCTCGCTTTTAAAATTCAAATGGATTCCCGCTAACATGCACAGAGGTGGGTTGGGAATTGGGATCCTGTGCATAACTGACACCTCTCAGGTGTTACTCGTTATTGCTATTGCAATGGAATCCTTTACCGCCGTTCAAGGTAGGAGCACGGCTACTCTTTTCACTGTGCACGGCACCACTGAAATCCTCAAATGTCAAATCCCCATGGGCCATGGCCGCGTTTGATTAGTGGGCCTCAGCCCTTACATAATGGGCCTTATTCTTCACATCTTTTTCCTGATTACTTATTAGGACTGTGCTGCTTTAAATTTTCAGGACTGTCCACCATTGCAGAAGAACCTTTCATGGAAAATCAACGGTGGAGCAGAAGATTTGGAGGAGTAAGGAAGCAGCGAAAGAAAGGTCTGATGTCTCGACTGACCCAAGCCAGAATAGCCCCACAACCACAAAGTGTGAGGAATAGGAGGAAAGACGAATACTGATCTAGTGTTTAGATCACTCGGTCAGGGGTGGGTAAAGGATTGTTTGTTATCAATGAAGCGATGATGAGATGGAGTATATGTGATTAAAGAAAATAATACAACAACGACAAAAAAAAGGGTAAATAATGAAATAAAACGACCGTTCTCCAACAGATAATCTATATGTTTTTTGAAGAAAAGGAAGAGCTCCGTACAAAAAGCACATACTCAAAAGGTAACTTGTCCGGTTGTCCGTGGTGGTGAGTGGATAATGGGCCCAATGTACTTGGGATGGATGCACAAAAGAGGCATCAGGCAGCAAGCCCACGTTATAATATACGCTTCTGTATCTATATGGGCCCTTAAGCTAATAATACTAAAAGATTAACGATAGATGGCTCCATACTCTCCAATCCGTAATAAGGGCGCTTACAGAGTTGCAGGTTTTAAGATTCAAATCCAAGCATTTAATAAACACAAGAATTCTGCATAAATGTTCCTCCATTTCCAAGTCGGATTAGTAGTAGGAGATCCCACAGTTCCCACGAGAAATGTAGGGTTGGCCAAAAAACAAGATTAAAAAGCCTACATCTCTGATTTGGTCATCTGCTCCTTCAAGTGTGAAATTGTGAAGAAAAAGTGAATTAATTACATCTCCAATGGTACCCCATTACATAATGTCATCTAATAAAGATTATAAATGGAATCCCCTCTTAACAATTTTTTGGACTTTAGTGCTCGCTGTCATGTCAGTCAAGGTGCAATCAGGCCAAACCAAAGTGTTAAGTGTTGTTCTAATATATCTAGGTTGGGAGGGCGTTAGGCAGATACAACTAAAGGCGAAAGGTAGGCTTCCTTTTGCTTTTTTTTTTTTTTTTCTCTTCTGTTGGGTATTTGGTAGCCTAATGGTAGTTGGGAATTTGGGATAAGGCTTTTGAATGATGAGTTAATTAAACGAACTGTACACGCTCTGAGAAGTTTTTTATGGGACGAGTTAATACTACAACGGACGGCCAACCCTCACTGAGTGGCCTTCTCAAATTCTAAAATAAACCACCGAGTTGGGGGGGGGGGGGTAAAAGGACTTTTGGTTTTTGATAAAATGCATATGACACAACCACTCAATCTTATTAGCATTGTGGTTATCATTGATTTCATGGTCATTGCGTTCAGTTGATCCAAATTCATTTGGAGCTCATTATGGCTGAAGAAATGAAAAAAAGGGTAAGTAAAATGAAAAATTAAGTTAAACTAGCTATGTTTGGTTTAAAGGAAAAGGAAGGGAAATGTAAGAAAACTTTTACAAATTTTCACGGTGTTAGGAAGCGTGGGCGCTTTTTGGGACCGATTTTCAAGAAAAAATGCTCATGCTTCCAAGACCCGTTTTTCACAAAAAAAAAACGCTTCTATCATGTAGGCAGAGAACAATACTATGCTGTTTGGTAAGGTGATTTTCATCACAGTTTTTTATGTATGTACTGATAGGTAAGCACCACATAGGATAGACATCAGTCAACCATTGGGGGAAACATTTTTCATGCATCGGTGGGGTCCTGATTTTCGAGGCATGCCTGATTTATTTTTTAATAATCGGTTGAACCAAACAATGAGATACATGGGCGTTTGTTGAAACACCTATGTGGATCCAACGTGGCACCGTTTTTTTTTTCTAAACGGCCATGGTTCCAAACATCCCCCTTGTATAGATTTTCTTTCATTTCTCTACCTTTTCCTTCAAACCAAACATAACCTTAATGTCATCAATACAATAATCACAAAGTACAAAGAATACCTTATTTTATAAAATTAATCTCATGATGAGTTGAAAATATTGAAGAATACCGTATTTTATAAAATTAATCTCATGATGAATTGAAAATATTGATCTTATCCAACACTAATCCAGTGATTATATCAGAAGTTTGGACATGCCATTAAAAACAACGATAGGCACATCGCATCACAGTTTTGTATCACCTGTCTTGCATACGTGGTAAAAACTAAAAAGTCTCATGTTAGGGACATGTGGCCCGAAACTATAATGTGTTTAGTGTTGTTTTGCCATGGACAGATCCCGACTGCAATGTCACACCCCCTTTATTTATTTAGGGTGTATTAAGATTAAGGGAAAATCTATGGTGCAGAAAAGATATAATATGGAAAGAGTTTTCACCGATTAAAACCCACCCATGAATTTTGATAAATAACACCATGTTCCTTATTATGTTTATGATTTTGATTTATTGGTCAGTTGTTTTTCGATTATTATATCTTTTTCATATCATAATTGAACCTTAAGATTAATAGATTAATTATGGTGGTGTTTGGCATTGATGCCATTGTCTCAAAAAACAACTTCATGTCGGCGCCATATCTGGAAAAAACGGTTTGCCAAGAAACGCAAGCTTATTTGGTTCCATTTTTTTAAAAAACAGCCATGCCTCGTAACTCAAGAATGCATGCTTTGAGAAAATGTCAAATTGAGTATGTATATGTTTGGCATCAATGCTGCAGTTGAAGCATCGTTTTCTAAGGTGCTGCTAATGTGTGGTTGGAAGCCCCGTTTTCTCCTTTATTTTTGTCTGGAATCGTTGCTGCTAGGTAGGATGTTTCCCGGAGCAACAACAACTTTTTCTGTTTGGTACCAATGCTCCAGGAAACGTTTTCAGCACTAGTACCCATTATCCAATGCCACATCACTGCCCATGTATCTCATTGTTTGGTTCGACCAATTATTAAAAAATCGGGCATGCCTCAAAAATCGGAACCTCACCGACATGCATCGGTGAACTGTTTCCCCCAATGGTTGACTGATATGTATCCTATGTGGTGCTTACTTGTCAACACATACATGAAAAATGATGATGAAAATCACCTTACCAAACAACATAGTGTTGCTCACTGCCTACATGGCATAAGTGTTTTTTTATGAAAAACGGATCTTAGAAGCATGGGTGTTTTTTCTTGAAAATCGGTCCCAAAAAGCACCCACGCTTCCAAACACCATGTTGGTGTCGCTCCAAGCCATGGCTTCCCGATTTCCAAGGTGTGGCTTGGAGCACAGTTTTTTATGGAAAAATGGTTCCAAACAAATGCTCGTTTCGTGGAGCACCATTTTTTTCTGATGTGGCACTGATGTGGCATTGTTGCTCCAGGAAACGACAATGATTCTGTTATGGGCCCGGGCAATAACAGATTCCAAATAGCCGCTATATGTTTGTCATCAATGTTGTAGTTGCAGACAAAACGGTGCTGCTGATGTGTGGGTTGGAAGTACCATTATCTTAGAAAATTGTGCCTTTTTTGTTTGGAATTGTTGTTGCCAGGTAGATGTTTCCTGTAGCAAGAACAACTTTTTCTGTTTGGTACCATTGCTCCAGGAAACGTTTTCTGCACTTTTACCTATTATCCCGTGCCACATCATTGCCCTATTGGCAGCAACGAACTACAGCTCCAGGAAACGCCGAATTTGGCGTTGCTCCAAGCCATGCCTTCCTAATTTCTAAGGCGTGTCTTGGAACACCGTTTTCTATGGAAAAATGGTTCTAAACAGATGATTGTTTCCTGGAGCACTGTTTTTTCCTACGTGGCGCTGATGTGGCGTCGTTGCTCCAAAAAATGACAACGATGCCAAATAGTCGCTAAACGTTTTTCCCATTTTCACATCCATTGCTACCAACGACTACATTACATGCCTGCTGATGTGGCGTTAACGAGATCTACACCATCGCCAGAGATCTGCATCATCACCGGTCTACAACGAGATTTACACCATCATCGATCTCCAACAAGATCTACACCATTAGTAGTTTGCAATGGGAAATTCTTTTTCTACTATCACTGGTCTACAACAAGATATACACCATCACTGCAGATCTACACCATCACCGGTCTGCAACGAGATCTACACCATGTGTGTTTGAACAAAGTAGTACTTGTTTCAGTATCTATTGGCTTGGACGATTGGTAGCATCAATGCCAAATAGAAGAAAAAAAACCGTTTTGTCAAAAAATGGTGCAACAGATCTCATCCATGGTATCGATGCCAAGCATATAGTGAAAACTAGGGGTGTCCATGAAAAACCGAAAAACCAAACCGCATAATGTGGTTAATTGAACCGATTGGTTTGGTTTCAGTTCGGAATTTTTAAAAACTGAAGGACTATTTCAGTTTTCAGTTAACCTACAAAAAAACCAATGGTTAATCGAACCGACCGGTATATTTATTTATATGTATATTTTAAATATATATTCATTATATATATAAAAATATACTTATATTATATTTATAATGATCTATTAATAAATATATTATATATTTTTAAAATATTTATAATATACTATATATCATTTATTATTTATAATATAATATTATACATATATTTATTTAATATATATTATAAATATAAAAAACCAAAAAAGCAAAGAATTGAATTGGTCAAAAACCGAAACCGATAGACTGATTAACCAGTGGTACCGGTTCGGTTTCGGTTTAGCAAAATGGAAAAACCGGGACCATCGGTTCAGATTAGGAAAAAGTGCCATGGTTCGGTTAACCGAATCGTGGACACCCCTAGTGAAAACTAGTGTTTTGAATTCTCGTTTGAATCTACAGTGCTCTATGGTTTTTTATTAGAATTTTCTCTTGCGGGGGGGTGGCAAAAACTAGTAAACATGGATAGGTGGCCAAAAGTCAATAAACATGGATATCAAAGTCAAAACCCATGATATTATAGTTAAATAGTAAAACTCTTAAAATGTAAATGAATAAAAACCTATAAAAAATGGGCACATCTCTAATATTTGTTATGAATTATATTAAAGAAAAACATGTATGATAAATAATAATTGTTTTTCTTGATGTTGGGAATAAAATACAAAATTTAAAACTAGTCAACAATGAACCTGTTTTCCTATTTGATGTTGGGTCAACATTTCAACTTTTTAAGTTAAATGTGTCAACCTTTAATGTTAGAATTAAATAATGAAACTTTAAAAAAGATAAAATATAAAAAATAAAAAATTTACTAATACTTTATATTAATCATACTAAATAAAAATAAGCATGATATACAAGACTTGTTTTACTAATGATGGAAATTAATGAAACACAATATAAAACCAAAGCAAAAATCAAAATGCTTTCCTATTTGGTAGAGGGTCACCAATTTAACCTTTATGGGTAAAATTCGTTATTCCTTGTCATCATAATTAAATAAAAAAATATAAAAAAGATAAAAACAAAAAATTATGAAAAATACAAAAATATTGTACAAAACATTTGGGTACATCCCTAATATTATATGTTCATCTTATAAAAAAAATATGTAGATAAATTTGGGCACATATCATCCTCAACCCAAATCACACTGTCCACAAAACAATTTTTGCATCTAGGAGAACCTGAAGTTTCCTTAATCCATATCATTCGCATCCTCCTTAATTCTAAGGGTAGAGGATAGTTAGGCGTGCACATGGATCAGATCATGATCCGATCCGATCCGATGTATATTATATACTTATAAATATATATAATACATATATTATTTATTGTTTATAAATTTTTATATTATATTTTTATAAATTTATTATATTATTTATTTTTTTTATAAAAAACATGTATATATATATGATGAAATAATTAAAAAATACATGTATTTTTTGTTTTTACTTTATTTAAATTAGTATATTTTATTTTCTTTTAATAATTTATTAAATTAAAAAAAATAAATCGGATTGAATAAGATCCAAAAATTCGACTTACTAGTAAAATTCAAATTCAAATCGAGTCCTATTAAATTTGACCAAATATTCGGATTGGATTCGAATATACGCTAATTCAAATCCGATCCGATACGTTGCATGAGCAAGGATATTAACTTCCAAATGTTCAAATAATATTGCCAAAATATTGAATGCTAAAAAAATTCATAACAGGGCCTATTAATGAAATGGCCACGACAGCCCAACCCAATGTTGGAGAATGGTCAGGCCTTTTGGCCCTTTTAACCATTCATATTGTGCAACGGTGTAAACTTTTAACCACTATTTAGATTAGTTGAATGCTTTTAACTGTTGTTCAACGTACTGTGATATTAAAGATGAATTTCCATGCAAGTAAATCTTACTCCTTAATTGATTAGCCCTACTGATTAATTTAGGGCCTTTTTGGTTTATGGAAATAGGGGTCTGGTTCATTTGGAATCCGAATTGAAATGGGCCATTTTGATTATAACTGTTTTAGTTGGAATTGTATTTTTATTCCCATTCTGGTGAAATAGTATTCTCGTATTTAAGGGAATGATCATTTTTTCTCCTCTGAAATAAAATCCCATTCCAGTTGATTCAAATTTTTATTGGGATTCCTGTTTTAACTAAACAGACTATAAGAATAGGCCATCCCAATTCTAAATATGAAGGTTTTTGATTCCGATTTTGATTTAAATTCTGACTGCAAACCAAACGGACTCTTAATATTTTTTATTTTTATTTTTTCTAACATTCCTATCGTGTTCTAGGCTTCTAGCCACGTTTATGAACTTGGGACCAGGTGGGAGCTAGGTGACATTATCGCCTGCTAGATTTTCTGTTCTTTGGTACTTTGACAGACTGCTAGATTTTCGACTTGCTACGCTCAAAGTCTTCAACGTCTTTCCTTCCCCAGTGGGTTATTTTTTGCGCTCTTGCTCGCTCCCTCGTTCTCTCCATTTTCCTACTCCCTGACTCCGGAATCCTCCGACTGGTGGACCTAGTATAGCGTTCAACTTAATTTCTATCTCTCTCGCCCTTTTCCCTGGCATGGCAGATAAGTTAGCTCTGCCTCTCTTGCTACCAGGTCCACCTCCCTCAAAGCCAATCTTCCAAGAACAACCCCGCCATGCCAACAACACTTCCTCCTCCTCTTCTTCTACGTTAGCTCCTCTTCTCCAAGACCTTCTCCAACAAATTCCAAAGTCTCCCCAAAACCCCAATTCTCGAAACCCCCAAAGCCATCATCTCCCTCACGCCCCACCGCCCCCTATCCTCCTCCGAAGACGAACTCGCCTTGGCAAATCCCGCGATGAAAACCGAGGAAAGCCCTGGGCCTCTGACCGTCTCTCTCCACAAGGTCAGCAAATCCTTCAAACCCTCCTTAATTGCGAAAACAATGATTTTAACATTGATCAAATCCTCCGCACTTTAATTCAGCCGCAGCAACAAGAGTATTTATCAGATATTGACTTAGAATGTCTGTCTGCCGACTTATTAGTTATAATTAAAGGTCTAGGATTCCATAAAAAGTCTGAAATGGCTTTGAGTGTCTTTGAGTGGATGCGGAATCGTGATGATTCCAAATTCCTCTTGAATGGTCCTGTCTTAGCTGTGCTTATCGGTATCATGGGTAAGGAAGGTTGGGTTTCCGCTGCCTCTTCTTTGCTACACAGCCTTCGTAGAGATGGTTTTTCAATTGATGTCTATACTTATACTTCTATGATAACTGCTTGCTCAAGAAATGGGAGGTATAGGGACGCAGTGTTGGTTTTTAAGAAGATGGAAGAAGAGGGATGCAAGCCTACCTTAATAACATACAATGTGATTCTTAATGTATATGGGAAGATGGGAATGCCATGGAGTAAGATTCTTGCAATTGTTGACAGGATGAAGAATGAGGGTGTCCTTCCTGATTCTTACACCTATAATACTCTTATAAGTTGCTGCCGCCGCGGTTCTTTGTATGAAGAAGCTGCTAGGATTTTTGAGGAGATGAAATCAGCAGGTTTTGTTCCTGATAAGGTTACTTATAATGCACTATTGGATGTTTATGGGAAGTCACGGCAGCCCAAGGAAGCCATGAAGGTTTTGCAGGAGATGGAGGCAAATGGGTTTTCCCCGGGCACTGTCACTTACAATTCCTTGATTTCAGCTTATGCCAGGGACGGTCTCTTGGAAGAAGCAATGGAGCTCAAGTCCCAAATGGTGGAAAAGGGGATAAGGCCAGATGTCTTTACCTACACCACCTTGTTATCCGGATTTGAGAAGGCTGGGAAGGATGAATCTGCGCTGAAGATTTTCGAGGAGATGAAAAGTGCTGGGTGCAAACCCAATATTTGCACTTTTAATGCCCTTATCAAGATGCATGGGAACCGCAGGAAGTTTGCAGAGATGATGGAGGTCTTTGAGGAGCTCAGGACTAGTCAGTATACCCCAGATATTGTTACTTGGAACACACTGTTGGCAGTGTTTGGGCAGAATGGGATGGATTCAGAAGTTTCTGGTGTGTTCAAGGAAATGAAGAAGGCAGGATTTGTACCTGAAAGGGATACATTCAACACCTTGATTAGTGCTTACAGCCGCTGTGGGTCATTTGACCAAGCTATGGCCGTTTACAGGAGTATGCTGGATGCTGGTATCAGTCCAGACCTTTCCACCTATAATGCTGTCTTAGCTGCACTGGCTCGTGGAGGGCTTTGGGTACAAGCAGAGAAAATACTAGCTGAAATGACGGATGGCTGCCAATGTAAACCCAATGAGATTACATATTGCTCTTTACTACATGCTTATGCCAATGGTAATGAGATTGAACGAATGCGTGCTCTTGCTGAAGACATATATTCTGGTGTAATTGAGCCACATGCTGTTCTTGTGAAGACCCTTGTTCTGGTTAATAGCAAGAGTGACCTTCTAATGGAAACAGAGCGAGCTTTCTTAGAGCTGAGAAGAAGAGGGTTTTCTCCTGACATTACTACGCTGAATGCCATGATCTCTATCTATGGCAGGAGACAGATGGTTGTGAAAGCTAATGGGATTTTGAACTTCATGTGCCAAAATGGGTTTACTCCTACCTTAACAACCTACAATAGCTTAATTCACATGTATAGTCGATTGGGAAACTTTGAGAGATCAGAAGAAATTCTCAGAGAAATACAGGCAAAAGGTTTAAGACCTGACCTTATCTCTTACAATACTGTCATTTTTGCCTATGGGAGGAAGGGCAGAATGCAAGATGCCTCACGTATATTTGCAGAACTTATAGATTCTGGGCTTAGTCCTGATGTCATAACTTACAATACCTTCATTGCAAGCTATGCAGCACAGTCAATGTTTGTGGAGGCTATTGATGTCATCCAATACATGATCAAACAAGGGTGTAAACCAAACCAGAACACTTATAATTCCGTTGTAGATTGGTATTGTAAGCATGGCAGACAGGAAGAGGCTAGCATGTTTGTTCAAAACCTTCGCAGGCTTGATCCATACATATCAAAGGAGGAAGAATGCCAGTTATCTGAACGAATAAGAAGGAAATAGTTTGAGAGGATCTTCTGTGGGAAGCAGGATAACATATCAGCTGGTGTACACTTTACTCTCCAAGGATTGATTTCAGTTATCTATTCTATGCTATTTTTTTTCCTTCTTGAAGATGAGCAGAAATCCTTTAATTTCTGGAACTAATAGTTGCAGATGATATATGATCTCAGTCTGGGGCTAGGATTTTTGTCATCAGACAACCTTGTCTGGTGGCAAGTTTCTACACATGTCAATGGAGAAAGTGTTGAAAGCTGAATGCAGTGGTAGCATGTATTATGTACAAAATACCTGCATAATTAAATTAAGTATCATTTTGCAGTTGACTAGTGGTCTACTGGTCTCTGCAAAATATTTATTTCATTGTACTCTTTGCTCTTAAATATTGGATTGTAGAATTCTATTCAATTACTGCTTCCTTTCTTGCCTTGTTCAATGACAATGAAGACTGCAATTCATTATAATGGAGAACCGAGTGAATCAGCTTAAGTCCGAGATGAGGTGCAGGAATGGATGCGTGTATGGGGCATTGAATCAGCTTTTGGTTGTCATGTTTGATTGTTTTAAATAGAAAGGATTAATTTGTATGGGAAAGGTGAGCCTTCTCTTAAGCATATTTTGTTCTTTTGTAATTTCATTTCTCAAGAAACCATAGGCTAAAATTGTTTGTTGAATAATGATCTATACCGTGGTACCATGGCAATGATATTATTATACACATGGTATGCATTTGTGCTGTATAGAAAATCTTTAAAAATGATTAGTTTAGTATATAGGGGGAACTTGGGCTGGGTTAGCCCAAACGACAACCTGAAAAATTGGGGCTGGGTCGAAGATCCGGTTATAGTTAGGGTTGAAAAATATGAAACTGATTTAACTTTGGGTTGCATTAGGGTTATGGTCTTGGGCAACCTAACCCAGCCTGAACCTGACATGCCTTCATATTTTCACTTATAAATATTTATTTATCTACGTGTGTATTTATATATAAATGTATCTATGTATATGTATAAATAACATCGGTTTTAAAAGGGAAAGATTTTTTAGTATAAAACACCATAACTTTGTCTCTGTATATATATTAATGCTGAATCTAGTTAACCTCAATTAGCTAATCTTAGGTCTAAGAAGTAAGAACGTTTCTTTGAAAAACAAAAAGAAGTGGGGAAATTTGGCCATCCCAAATCCAAGAACATTTCTTTTTGAAAAACAAAAAGAAGTGGGAAATTAGTGTTTAAATCATTGCTACTACTTCTACCCATGTCCTTTGTGGTCTACCCCTAGCTCTTCTAGCTCCTTCCATTTGTAAGAAATCACTTCTTCTAGCTGGAGCTGTTGGTGGTCTTCTATGCATGTGACTAAACCATCTTAGTCTACTTGGTCTACTCTCTCATTTTCTCACTTATTGGAGCTACTCCTAAGTTTCTACCAATCCAGATCTCCTGTGGGTAGGATATCTGAACATGGTTTCTATAGAGCTTCATTCCTGATCCTATCCTTTCTAGTTTTTCCATTCATTCATCTTAACTTTTGCATTTCTGCCACATTCATTTTCTGAATATGTTGTTTTGACTGTGCAACGCTCTGCTCCATACAACATAGCTGGCCTTATAACTGTTTTATAGAGTTTTCCTTTTAATATAAGTGGTATTCTCCTCCTATCACACAAAAGTCCAAATGGCTGAACCTGAACTATCAATCCCAGAAATCATTCAAACCTCTTGGTGTAATCATCGAGTGTGAGACCTACTTGATGTACATGCTCTTGCCACCTCATTGTCCAATAATACAATTCGATTATCGATATGGCATTGACATTAATATTATATGTTGAACCTCTATACCATGAAGTGCCAGTTCTGGAAAATCAAGGCCTTATTTGATTTAATGAGCAATTGTGTGCAGAGTTTCAGATATTATATTGTTATATATTGCACATTTAGTTAGATTTTATAAATAAGCTTATATATACAAATGTGAATTCTAATTTTTTATCTTTGTTATTTGTTTTTTGTATAGATGTAGACATATTAGATCAAACTTTTACATGTTCATTGTGGTTTGATATGTATTAAATTTATTTGAAAATTGTAATAAATTTTGAATACAGGGATCTATGCAAATTATACTAGCTTGAGAAAATTTTTAGTTTTTAATAACATAATATCTTTTATTAGAAATTTGTGTGCAATTTTTTTTGTAATGTATGGATGATACAAGTGATGTTTGCACTAATCAGTAAAGGATTTAGGTTTTTGTGGTTTAGACAAATGTATACATTTTCTAAACGTTGCTATAGATCCACATTTTGATATGTAGTGGCAAACAAAAAGTTAACTAAAGAAATAGCAGTGGTTATGATTGCTATTTCTTTGTGTGTGTGTGTGTGTGTAAGTTAGCCATGCACACAAACATTTCATCCACTTACTTTTTGCTTTCAAATAATGACCAATGGCTTAGTGCAAAAAATATTGCCACTCACCCTTCAAATGTGATATCAGACTTCCCATCGTGAATGGTTCGACGATTTTGCATAAAAAGATGGTTTGATGATTCTAATATGGTGTCAAGCCTGTAATCAGAATCAAGTCTGTATCTCAACATTTTCCATGGCATCAAACCTGTAACCTGGTTTTCTGGTAAGGTGTCTGAAGTTTTTACGGAGCTGTGACTGCAACTGATGTAAAAAAACTGTAGCGAGGTCAAGCCTGCGTGTAACTTCACTTGCTAAGTATTTGATAAAAAGATTCACTACTAGGCTTGAGTTAACAGCAGCAGATGAGTGAATGATTCCCTCAAGTCAACATATCTCAACTGGCTTTGTTCAATCAAATAAGTTTCAAACGCGCCTATAAGGTCAATACGGTTTTCATGAGGATTGGAAATGGAAACTTACTCGGAAGTATGGTTTCCATGATTGTTAGCTGTGAAGGCATGAGTCAAACTCAGGAAGATAACTCACTCACTCAGAAGATTAACAGTTCTTTTGCTTCTGCAGTCATGTCTCTAGCACACATTGCTCCAATATAACACGTAGCTGTAATACTTGCAAGGCATGACACGTTCTTCTAACTGGTGGAGGTACCTTACCTAATCTATTGACAAATCATAAATTCTTTCAGCAATGGGACATCTAGAAGAGAATCTGGGCCAATTCTATTATCCCTGGTTTAATCGACCAATCCGCCAACTTGGTTGGACCAAGAATTCTCAGCTTTTCAAACATATTCACATCGGCCCATTTTTTTTGGCTTGACTCAGGTATTCCATTATCATTTCTTGGGAGATATTGGCAATTGTGTTTGTATCTTATAATTGTTGTTCTGGAGAAGCTTCCTGTAATTATGAAAACCTTATCTTGGAATGTCCAAGGGTGTAACAGCCTTAGGACTTTAAGACTCTTGAAAAGGATCTATCACATTCATAATCTGGACATTGTTTTCTATCCAAAGATGTCTGCAAACAAATACAAACTATTGGGTAGAAAACTGGTAGGCCCCCAATTAATTTTACGTATGCCAGGAAGGGGAAAGGTCAGCTTTCGGCCAAGGGGGGGAAATAATTGAACATGGGGGAACTTATGGCTGGAGGGAATAAGGAGAGTTTTGTGGCATTTATAGCTTGTCAGTTGAGAATAAGAAGAGTGTGGGGCATTTAGCATTTATAGCCTGTTAGTTGGGAATAAGAAGAGTGTGGGGCATTTATAATTCGACTAGCTGGGCATTTATTATGGAAGGCAGTTATGCTGTAAGATGTGTATAAGAAGGGGCTTTGGGGGATGGAGGAGGGGGACTTTTGCTGAGTAAAGAATTCTGTGAATGCTTGGGAGAGCCGGCGGTCTCTCGAAGAACCGACCCACTGTAAGTGATATTCTTTTCTTCTGAATGACTACCAGTTCCCTGTTGATATTCTAGTGGTGTGGATTCTGCTGTGAGTTTGCAAATTGCGTGTCAAGTCTCTGGGACTTATCAGTGGTATCAGAGCGTGTTTTTCCTCGGCCATGGTGATAGCTAAAGAAGTGGCATTGCAGGTGGAGGGTTTCGAAGAACGCTTGACTTCTCTGCATTCTAAAGTGGATGGCTTACGTGATGAGATAACAGCTGGACTTTTGAAGATCACATCCCTGGAAGGAGGCGTTCAAGACTTGGTAAGACGTTTTGAAGCAACAGACCTTGTCAGCTCCTTTGTCTACAACTGACAATGCTCCTCCTGTATCCGCATCAAGTCGTGCGGCTGACAAAGGGAAGAGTGCAGATTTCCCGACGTCTCCTTCAATGTCGGTCCCGAAACATACTTCTGATTCACTTCCTCGGAAGTTGGAGTTGCCTATTTTTGATGGGGAAAATCCAGACAACTGGCTTTTTTCGCGCGGAGCTCTATTTTGAGATTAATGGCTTGCTTCCGGCGGAACGTCTGCGGGCGGCAGTGGTCTGTTTAGAGGGTGATGCATTGGTGTGGTATTCTTGGGAGGATGGTTGGCAACCTTTTCGTAGTTGGGCAGAATTCAAGGAACTCCTCCTTGAACGTTTTCGATCAACTCAGGAGGGAAACTTGCAGGAGCAACTTCTATCATTACGTCAATCCACTACTGTTAAGGAATATCGTCGCCAATTCGAGGTGCTCTCCGTCCCCTTACGTGACCTGCCAGAATCAGTCCTTGAAGCAGCCTTTGTTAATGGGTTGCGCCCAGATATACAGTCTGAACTCCGACAGATGGAACCCGTTGGGCTGATGAGAAAAATGGTTGCAGCCCAGAAAATTAAGGAGAAGAATCAGGCCTTATGGGCTTATCAATCAGGTTCATTCCCTCGTGGGCCCACAACGTCCCTCTCTGGAACCCACTTTAACTCACTGGTTTCGCAAGTGACTACTTCTGCTGTCACCCAACCTGCATGAGCCGCAATCCCTCCTTCATCAGCCCCCATTATTAAGGCCCCACCTCCTGCTTTCAAAAAGATGACCGACAAAGAGATGCAGCAGAAATGAGCGAAGGGTCTATATTTCCATTGCGACGAGAAATACAGCCCGGGACACCGTTGTGCTCAGAAATCACTTTAGGTTTTATGGGTTCAAGATGATGTGGCGGAAATCACTTCTGATGCGTCTAATTTGGATTGCACTTCCGGGGACACTGAAATTGCTCTGACTCCAGAATCAGCCACGCTTTGTGTTTCGTCTCTTGTTGGGTTGTGTGTGGCAAATTCCCTTAAGGTGCGTGGACGCATTTTGTCACGCGAGGTGGTCATATTGGTAGACTCGGGTGCATCTCACAACTTTATCTCCGAAACCTTAGTCAAAGAATTGAAATTACCTCGCACCCCTACACACGAATTCGGGGTTCAGATGGGAAATGGTGATGAGGTAAGAATCTCCGGAGTCTGCCGTCAGGTTTGCCTCAACTTACCTGAATTGGATGTCATCGCTGATTTCTTTCCTTTAAAGTTGGGCTCTATAGATGTCATTCTTGGTTTTTCTTGGTTAGCATCCCTCGGGGACTCAATGATGAATTGGGGCAACATGTCTATGAAGCTCAATTTGGGAGGTGTTCGGGTGAAGTTGCAGGGCGACCCTTCTCTCTGTTCTTCTCAGGTATCTTTGCATGCTATGATGCATAACTTACAACATGAGGGACAAGGGGTTTTGTTAGAATTAAAACAATTGCAGATAGTGGATTCTCCGTTGAACTCTGTCTTGCCTACATTCCCGCCAATTTCCGCATTACTAGATGAGTACAAGGATGCTTTGACATGCCTACGGGCTTACCCCCTACACGGGCTACGGAGCATGCTATTGTCTTGCAGGAGGGCACTTCTCCTATCTCTGTTCGTCCTTACAGATATCCTCAATTCCAGAAAGATGAAATTGATCCCCTTGTCTCTGAGATGCTGGCTGCGGGTATTATTCAGCCGAGTACAAGCCCCTACTCGAGCCCGGTCCTTTTAGTCAAGAAGAAAGATGGAAGTTGGCGTTTTTGTGTGGATTACAAAGCCCTTAACCGTGCTACGGTTCCGGATAAATTCCCCATTCCGGTTATCGAAGAACTTCTCGATGAGCTCCATGGTGCTTCTATTTTCAGCAAAATTGATCTTAAATCGGGCTACCACCAGATTCGGGTCCGCAATGAGGACATTCCCAAGACTGCGTTTCGCACCCACGAGGGCCATTACGAGTTCCTTGTCATGCCCTTCGGTCTCACCAATGCGCCCTCGACCTTCCAGTCATTAATGAATACTGTATTCCATGATTTCCTCCATCGCTTTATGCTGGTATTTTTTGATGATATTCTGGTTTACAGTGCTTCCGAAGCTGCCCATTTGGATCACCTTCGACAGGTTTTCTCTGTGTTGCGCGCCCATCGTCTCTTTGCCAACTCAAAGAAATGTATCTTTGCTCAGCCTAGCATTGAGTACCTGGGTCATATTATTAGCGTGGCTAGTGTTTCTGCTGATCCTTCTAAAATCCAGGTCATGATTGACTGTCCTCAACCATCTTCACTTAAAGCTCTTCGCGGTTTTCTGGGACTGACATGCTATTATCGCCGTTTTGTGCGTAACTACAATAAAATAGCATGGCCATTGACGCAACAGCTTAAAAAGGATGCTTTCTCATGGAATGCGGAGGCTGAGAATGCATTTCAGGAGTTGAAACGGGCTATGACGACCGTACCGGTGTTGGCCCTTCCAAATTTTTCCCAGCCCTTCTTGATCGAGACAAATGCATCCGGTGTAGGTCTCGGGGCAGTATTAATGCAGAATAATCGGCCTATAGCTTTTTATAGCCACAAGCTTAGCCCGTCTGCACAGTCAAAATCTGTCTACAAGCGGGAATTAATGGCCATTGTCTTTGCCATTAAAAAATGGCGCCCCTATCTTCTTGGAAGACGCTTTATTGTTCGAACCGACCAACGTAGTCTCAAGTATCTGTTGGAGCAACGGATTGTCGAAGGTGAGCATCATAAGTGGCTTCATAAGCTTATGAATTATGACTTTGAGATTCAGTACAAACCGGGTGCCGATAATATCGTGGCTAACGCCCTATCTAGGGTTCCTGCTGAAATGCACTTAAACTCTCTTACAATACCTATTTTTCTTGATTTTGATGACCCTAAGGAGCAAGTTGATGCTGATCATTTTCTGGCCCACATCAAGCATGCCATACAGCATGATCCGACTGCCTATCCCGCCTATTCTTTAGTTGGAGAACACCTACGTTATCATGGTAAACTGGTTCTGCCGGCTTCTTCTCCATTTATTCCCCTCTTACTTAAGGAGTTTCATTCGGGAGTTGTGGGAGGTCATGCGGGTATCTGCCGGACATATAGGCGCATAGCAGCTGAATTTTATTGGCGGGGGATAAAGCGTACTGTCCAGGAGTTTGTGCAGGCCTGTGATGTGTGTCAACGTAGTAAATATGAAGCCATGTCCCCTGCTGGCCTTTTACAACCTTTACCTGTACTGGAACAGATCTGGGAGGATATTGCTATGGACTTTATTGAGGCTCTTCCTAAATCAAAAGGGTTTGATACAATTATGGTGGTGGTCGATCGTCTCTCCAAGTATGCCCATTTTATCCCTTTCAGTCATCCTTTCTCAGTGTAGGTTTTCAAGACTGCTATTCAGTCTTGATCACTAAGAGATTTCAGGTTCGGTGAGAAGAGAAGGTGAAGAAGATGTAGAAGGAAGAGTGATGGAAGAGCAATAGAACACAGATTTTGAGGAGAACAGAATGTCAAAYATTCTGCCGCCGCCACTTTAAGTTAATATATATAGGTTATGCTAGTTACATGAAAGGACATATTTGCCCTTGGTGTTTACATCATAACTGCTAACAAATAACAACCAATATA